AATCGTTGATTAGAAGCTGCAAGGTACCAGGTGCCCTCAACCTTACAGCAGCATCATCTTCCGCAACCTGGCGGTGGCATGTGCTGTGTGCGGATTCAACCTCTGTGGGCCTTGTGCGGTTTGAAGATGTTTGAAGCGTTTGCTGGGTAAAGCTTCGTGCTCTGGTAAGCAAAGCCGTTTTCAGGTTGATGTGAATTCCTAGCCGTCCCAATATTTTCTATAATGGACGCCATTTAACGGCGGGTTGTGTGGGTTGTGCAAATGCCGGCCCAGCTGGCTCGTGGCTGCCGTGGCTGTTGCTATCAAAGGCCAAACTGTAGTTCAGGGTGCTGATCTTGGAGATCAGCCATTCGGCTGGCAAGTTGTTCTGTTGCAGGCGAGCCGGGTCCGCCAGTGACTGTTGCTGGGAATGTGTTTTGTGCAGTCGCCAGGTGCTACTTCAGCAACGTAAATGTTAACTGTGGTGAGTGCGGATTGTGCAGCACTGTGTTCAAAAAAACGCACGAATTCATTGGCGGAGGGGGTTCTTCACAAAATGTGCTGCTTTTGTTGTGTGTCTCTCTCTCTCTCCCTCTCTCGCCGGCATGGCTCGTCACCGAGCCGTCTCACAGAGACGCCCATCTGCAACTGCCGTCAAAGGCGAGAGGCCAAGGGGTAACACAGAACGGACGGGAGTTAAGAGCGAAAATGTGGACATCTGTGTGTTTCCTGATCTCTTCAGTTTGCCCCCAGGCATCAGCCCAGTGGTCGCGCAGGTTTCTCAATATTTGTTGGTCAGTGTTGGTGGCGTCACCGTTGCGAATGACTAGTAGAAATTGTTCCCCCGTGCTTTCGCTGTAACCATTTCCGACGTTTATGGTCGTCGGTGTAAGCATTTCCTTTGTCGTGTTGTTGTTTGAGCAACTGTTGCTGTGTGTGTGTGTTTGTGCCACTCCCTGTTTCTAAGGGATACAGTAAACATCACTGCAACCTCTGTAACTAGGCCTCCTTCTTAATCGATTTCAATTGCAGCCAGGATAAACCTGGCGCGCGCCAGGGAGGTGCAAACGCACCTGTTTTGGTTAACTGTTGGTTGGTTGCTGTGGTCCATGGTTTGTTTCATGGTGGTTCATGTGCTTGATGTTGTTCCAGACAATCTTTTGAGTTCCATTTCTCGTTTCACCCTGCGATGTCCCTGTGCACTTGGCTCCTTTTCATCGCAACCACATACTTTTGTCCTGTCTCGTCTTCTTCTCATGTCTTCGTCCATTTGTCTTTTGTGTGCGCACACATGCACACAAGCCTAAACCTTAGCTTCAGCCTTTGCCCCCCCCACGCTTGGCCTTTTTCAATTAGCAGGGGACCAGGTGGAGTACATCGTCGCCTGGTCAAGGAAGCTGGCGGGGATATGAGTGAGACGCCACCTCCACGTACCTGCTTGTGAACAGACTGGCTCCAATGGTCCTCAGGGAGTCTAGACCAGGTCGACGTAAAGCGCTAATGCGCTCGGCAGACTTGCAGTTGCATCTTGTCAAACTTGGACTTTTTAAACTTTCGGGGCTTCCCTTCTGTTCATGATAATTTTGTTAGATGCCTCTCCACTTAACACTTGCTACTTTGCTGGACTCTTAGTCTTTTTTACTTAGGCTGGCGTGTGGCATGAGGCATTCAACTTCGTACGCAATATCTCGAGAGTGTGTGTGTGTGTGTGCCACCCTCCGTCTCCAGGAGCTTTTCTTTCCACTTTTGCTTTGCTTTCATGGTGGTTGTTCATGCTATCTCCCAAAACCAATTTCTCTCAGCCGCTTTCCGCTGACTTTGATTTTGCAGCTGCAGTTGCGCGACTGAAGCCGTTTTGTTAAAACACCTTCAAGTGCTTGGACGCTTCACCTTTCCGTTGAGCCCTTCCTTTCCTCGGGGATTCTGGTTAACTGAAAACCCTGTGACTAAGTGTGTATCGCTGTGTCGTCCCACTTGGGTGCACAGCGTGATCCCCCGCAAGGGCGCTGAGACCATTGTGAATCACATATTGGTCTAGCGTTTCCTGCACTCGTTGGATTATGGTTTCGTGGATCCCAGTTGTTTCACCCATGAATCACCTGTTTCCAATGCTGCCGAGCTACGGTGTTTCGAAAGCCGCCGGGCATACGGACATTCTTTTCAGAGCTTTCAAGGTTCAAGCACTTTGCTGCAACTCACGGTTCTCATGTACAGCGATGTTTGATGGTGCGATTTCTAATTTCCAACCTCCTTACTTGTCAGATCTTTCTCACACATATGACTCCATGGGCGTTGCTCAGAATTCGAAAACAGGGGATCCGGTCCAGACAGTTATGAGTTGTCTCTGGACCCACGAAGACGGACTTTGCCTTTTAATTTTGATGTACACTTTAACTGTTGCTGACTCGCCTTTCTATTTCCACAGGGCCATTTCCAGTTTCCTCAGGTCGTTTCTGCACTAGATCGTAACGCACTCCTGGCATCACTCTGACTTTAATGCTGCGAGCTCCTTCTCAAGTGTCTGCGTTCAATGTTCTTCGCCAATTGCTTACGGTCGGTGGTATGGACCCTTTTCTGGAGACAGGAACCTCCTGTTTTTGTGCTTGAGTGAGAGCGTTGCGACCTAGGAGGTCATGCACCGAGTGGTCCTGCTGAGACAATGCGGTGCTGCATTGTCCCGTCTGTTCTCCGGCTTGCCAGGGACATTGACCGCCACAAGCTTGGTGTGCGGCCAGGGTGGTGAAGTCCACTTGTGGCTTTGTTGGGGGGTTCCTCTGTGCTTGTCCTGTTTCCAGTTCCCTGAGGGTGCATTGCAACCCTTTGTGATTGGAAATTCTAGATGCCATGCTGCCATAACTTTTCACAAAAGCGAAGCATTGCTACACACATGACACATGCCGTTCAAAAGCATGGCTACGTGGTTAAGCCTTTGGCACAACACCTGAAGTGACCAGGCCTCCTCAAAATCTCAGTATGACAGCACCAAGCCAAAAGTGCTCGACCATGATTCTGTTTTGCCAGCGGGCACAGTGACACGGTAGTATGACACAGTAATTGCATTCAATCGCAACCCGAAAGCTGCGGAAAATCAATGGAAAACAAAAGGGCGCAAACTTGGCTTCTCACTGATCATTCCTCACCTAGGCCGCCGCCTTGTTCTCACTGAAAATGCCTCCTGGGCTGGTGGCTCGATCAAGAAGAACACCGCTGACGATGCCCACAGCAAAGTCCACTTCATAGCAAAGGACTGCTGTTGCGACTAACACTCCGAACCGGATACGGGAACCCTCCTCCCCAGCTAAGGCCGCCTTTGCCGCATCCAGCGTAGGCCCAAACTGCATTGTGTCTAATGACACGGCAACCATGATGCCAGCCAAGGCGGGCACGCTGATCTGCCCCACAATGGGTGCCAAAACCAGAGCAAAAAGCACCATTGATGCAGCATAGGCCGCGACGGAAATGAAGCCACCACCACCTGAGTTCAGATTGAGGACCGTTTGAGGAACCAAGCCACAGCCTCCAAAGCCACCAAATAAGACTGACAAGCCATTGCCGGCAGCCAGGGACAGGACTGTTGAAGTAGGCACATCAACCGGTGCTGGCTTTCCGTCGGGACCGGTGATGACCAACTCTCCATTTTCATCGTAGAAAAAGGTGCAAAGTTCTTCGCATTTGCGGTCATCCACCACACGAGCCGCAAGCAGGGTCTCCAAAAGCGAAATGAATGCAATAGACACAGCACAAGGAAGTGCGATTGAGATGTCTTCCATGGAAGGCAGCTGAGGCAACTGGAACTGAGGCAAAGCTGCCAAGCCACCCGCAAAAGCCATTGGATCTTTCGCCTTTGTCGCCAGTGTTGGCACATCGAAATTCAATACGGCCCCTACGGCGGATGCCACGGCAAGACCCACGAGCGATGATGGAACTGGTGCCGATGGCAGGAAGAGCGTGATTCCAGCACAAATCAAGGCCAGGCCAGCGGCCTCTGGCGTGGAGAGGGCGCCAGACTGCGACAGAAGCAGTGCAAGGCCTAGTGCATTGAGGAATCCAGCTAGCACCTCTTTGGAGACCAAATCCACGGCTCTAGCAAAGCCTACTGCCCCAGCCGAAAATTGAATCAATGCTGCAAGCAGGACAACGAGAGGCACTAGGCCGAGACCATGTTGTGCTGTGAAAGCACCTAAAGGCACCACTATCACCGCTGCAGCGCCCGCCACCACACCAGGACGCATGCCCGCAATGCTGGCGAAGCCCAAGGCGACACATGACCAAAGTCCAACAAGAGGCCCAGTGCCCACAATGGCACTGCAAGCGATGGCCTTGGACAGTAGCGAAAAAGCTACACTCACACCAGCCAAAACCTCCTCCACTGGGTTCAGCTCTTGTGGCACCTCGAGAGTCTCTGACTCAGCGCGCAGCGGCAACTGCTGAAGGGCGGCATCACAACTCGAACCGAGAACGGTACTTGGGGAACCAACGAAATTGGTGAGATCTCGGCTCCACCAAGCGACACAACCGAGAGCCGAGAGAACCAGCACCAAAAAGCCTCTTCCCCGGCGGGCCATGTCGCATCAGGAGAACCGACTGCGAATGCCTACAAGACTGAACTGCCTATATAATAGAGGCATTATTCATGATGAGGTGAAAGGGAGTTGATGAACCACTTGGAAGTCCATAAGGATTACCTACAAGGACTCTTTTCAAGCACATGCCACGTAAATGACAATGAGTGCCCCTGACCTGCTACATAATCGTGCCTGGTGTGAGGCGTGCTATGAGGCGCTGCTGACTGTGCATGGATATCATAACAATCTCACTTTCTCGAGCAAGTTAGCCGGTGGTAGGATTGACCACTCGAGTTGCTTGGTGAGAAGTGCCACGCATGCATGTTGAGCTCGCTACTGCTCTGTTTTCTAAGCCAGCCCTGTGCACCCCTGCGTTTTGCAGGGACAAAACACATGGTATGTATGAAGGCTTAGTGGATCTTCCAGTCGGCTTTTTTGCACATCCTCAAATGTGTGTCACCGGCCCACGCCTAAGATGTTCAACAAACGACCTGCGCCTGAGCGCTCTTGTCCTTGTCGGGCTCGCTGGGCTTGGTCATGCAGACCCATCTGTTGGTAGTATTGTGCTTGCTGCTCACCACTTTTTACCTTTGGCACCAAGGCCAGGGCAAAGTCTTGCCTCCCATGTTTCCTGGATTTGCGCAAGAATAACTCAATTTGAATATGGAAGGACATTGACAAGCATGCCTGGAAACTGCCATCAACATCAAGCCACAAAAAAGCCAAGGGTGAGAAAATCAAATACAAATGCATAGTTGCTCCTTCACCATATCATACGGTGCGGCCAAGACACAAAAAAGTTTCTACAAACGGCTCGTAACCGATGGGGGAGTTGACTATAGCAAAGGCATTGAGCTCCTCAAAGTTTCCGGCATTCGCCAAGCCGCGAATCTTGATGCGCCAGTAGCGCTTGTCCGAGACCTTCATGGTTTTTCTCAATTCGTCTGCTTCGCGGACCTCTCCTAACTCCAAAAGCTTCACCAAGGTGGTCACGAGAGGCAAACCCAAAAACCGCTGTGTCCGGCCACGGCCCCAGCTCTTTGCAGTTGCCTTTTCCTCTAAAGAGAGTTGCTCTGCTAAGAGCTCCATTTCCTCTGCGCAGGATTGGGCCATAAATTGCATGGAGGACTTTTCGGCATCCGTTGCTATTGGGTCATTCATTCCAAATAGATCTTTCGAAAACCTCAGCAACTTGGTCCGCTCATCATAGCTCGTTTGTCGGAAGACCCTGTGCAGGGCTGCAAAGGCTGCTTGGCGCTTTCTGTCCAGAAGATCATTGAACATTCGTGCTCGATCAAACTGCTCCCGCATCAGCTGTCTGGTTACCATATCACCCACCACTTGAAGTTCATAAAGTCGTTCCTTGATTAGTTTGGCACAGCTCTGAATGTCAGACCTTCGTTCACACGGATCCCCGAAGCAGGCAGCAGAAAGTGCAGAGTTCATGAGATCGGGATCCCAGCTCCGTGCAGCTTTATCCAAAGCCAAGCGCAGCATGATATCTCTGTCCTTTTCGTCTCCTTCTCTGCTCAGCTGCACCAAGACTTCCACTTGTGCGTGGCTTCGTGGCTCATGGTTCAACAGCAAGGTTGCCAAATGTGGTCGGTACATCTCAGCTGCCACACGTGCCACTTCTGCGAAGCCTGACACTGAACAAGCAACAAGTGCAGAACAAAACTCTGAGATAGCAGATCCAAACAAACTAAGGCGTGACAAACAAGCTCAAGCAGCCAAGGGGCCAATGCCAGGGCAGCGCTGAAACTTGTCCAGAATTGTATGACATAGCTGTTCGTCTGTCTGTGGTGAGCCTCTTGCATGGCGTATCTTCTCGCATGCCCAGTGAAAAAGCACCTTTTCTTGAGAATGCCCCACCCACTCACAGATCCGCATAGCAAGCAAGTGGAAGTGGCGCTGTGCCAGCCTCAGGCTCAAGCCTGCAAGTTAGAGCTCATGCCATGAAAGTGATTTCACAAGTATTGGAAGACTTTAAGTTGACCCGGGAGTGGTACATTAAGACTTGCTCCTACACCACAGCATCACAACGCTGCGGGCAAAACACTTGTCGATCGGATGCAAATGAAACAATGAAACGATAAACTGGTTCCATCTCTCCACATTTCAAATCAGGATTATGAAAAAGTATGTATGACCTACGTCTCCACGTTGCATTTGGGTCTGCACTGGCTGCCTTCTTGCAGCCCACCACAAAAGCAAACAATGACATGGGACACCACTATATACAACAGTTTCGGGTAGAGAAGAAGAACCATCACAGTGGCACGGGCAGCAACCAGTGCAATAGCCAAGTCCTGAAAGAAACCTTCAGATACTTCCAAGGAGGGCAGGCAGGGTGAAGAAAGAATGGGCCAATTTGATCTCTGTCACACAGCAAGGTCCTGAAAAGTCTTCTGGCAAGCGTCTTGAAACATGCAGAATTCAGGATGGTGTTCATCCTTTAACACTAGCAATGGCCTCCAACCTGCTAACGATGGCCTCCAACCTACTCGCGATGGCCTCCATCCTACTAGCGATGGCCTCCGACCTATTAGCGATGGCCTCCAACCGAATAGCGTGGCCTCTGACCTACTAGAGATGGCCTCCAACCTAAGGTCAAAAGTAATTTGCTTACATAGACCTTCTCCATGGCCACTTTGAAGTGGCAAGGCGGCTGACTGCACGCCCTTGTTGTTGCTTTCAGGGATCTGTAAAAATGACGCTGTAGGCAGGGATGCTCATTCGGCAGGAGGTCACATGCAATCATGTACAACCATTGCTTGATGATTTCAACATGTTTTTGAATTGGACACAAGGGATAAGCCAACATGGCACCTACATCAAAGCCCATGCCAATGCGACCCAAGAAAAAAACTCAGACTGTTCAAAACAAAGCATGAAAGCCACCAGTACGACACGAGTCTTATAGGCGTGCTTTCCTTTCAACGACGCTTTGTTGGGAGCTTTTTCCGGGCAGGTTTGGATGATCAGTGTTAAGTCTCAATAGTTCCACACATCGTCCACACATCTGGGCCATCGACAGAGCCAGCGCTGCAAGAAAGATACTTGGGAGGCTTAGGCCCACCCAGTACTACTTGGGACACGTGGGATTTTATTGGAAGACTCCATGCACGGGCTGTGCCTGCTATACCAAGCTTCTCCAGCTGCGCAGGGGTAATAGGGATCTCAATGGGCGCCTTGCGTAGCTCCCTGCAAATCCGAAGACTTCGACAGGCCTCTGCAGGTCTCTCTCTCTCTCTCTCTCCCTCTCTCTCTTTGGCTTGACTATGCCCGGTGGCCACTACCAAATGTGCTTCCTTTTCAGCCGAACGGGCGGCCTCACGATGCCGATCGGGACACCCTGGACTCTCCGTCAAGAAGTGTCGCCCAAAGCTTGCAGCTTTCAAAAGGTTCTTGAAGGCAGACGCCTCCTCAGGGGAGGCTACAACACTAAGAGACACGACCTTATGTAGACTTGAACATGCAGAATGGAAGGCCCCCGGAAGTTGTTCCACCCTCTCCAAACCACTGACACGGCCAAGTAAGCACCCAATGACCAAGCAATAGCCAAAACAAAAACATGTTTCAGATGTTTCAGGGGCGTAAGGTCTGGGTGAAGTCTTAGCCATGAATTCCGGATGCAGTTCGAAATTGCATGTCCACGATTTTGCACTGTTTCTTGCTCTCCAGGTTTTTGTTCTATAGAGTGTGGAGGGGTTCTATGAATCTGGACCTATTGGCTTTTCCATCATCCTGTACAACTTGTTTGGCACTTAGCAATCTTGACTTGTTGTGCCCTGCTGATTGACTTGCATTCCCTTCTTGATTAGTCGGCTCAAGTAGTACTTGCTTACTCCTCAGCTTTTCCCATCCTACTTAATTTGCTCAGGCCTTCTATAAAACCATATCAATGAAATATCTTTCAACCCTTCTTGCATACCACCCAACAAGCTTCAAAATTGTTGTTCCTTTTCTTGACTCGCTTCTCTATTTTCCTTGATTACCTGGTTGCATTGCTAATTTGGATAAGCCCCTCCTTTGCCATATTTGTGTCCCTCATCGCTCCTATATATTGGTGCTTCTCTCTCTCTCTCTCCAGAGTCTAGCTGTCTCACAGCTATCCCACAGGGACAATCTGATGGAATAGCTGCACCAACCTATATAAGGCTAATGCAGGTCGCACCGAAATAGGGGGTGCCACAGTGCAACACACAAGAAACATGTAGAGTTTATTCATGTGTATTCTCTCTATATGCCTTTGTTTGATTCCTGACCTCTTCACCTCTTTGCTCTTTTTGGGGTGTCTTGTTCACAAGCCGTTTCTATTCTCGAGGGTCTCTCTTTGGTCAACAGTTTCCATTTTTCTTGCTTAGCTCTTCTTATTGGATGCTGCAACCCTTAGAAATACCAAGAAACAAAAGAAAGCCATATTCAATGTCAAAGAATAAACAGCTAGACCAAATACATGAAGATTGATTGTCTGCTTGTTACTCTTTAACATTCTTTAACTGGCTCTTCATTTCTTGGCCGGTTGCTGTTTGTGGACGAAGCCTTTACAGATAATTGTGCAAAGGAGAATGGTGTTGTAAGACGGAGGGGCTTCTGGATAAGGTGGGATGTCTATATGAACGTGTAGATTCTATCGGATGGCATGTGTTGACAAAGGCAAAGGCACTTTAAACAACAGAAAGGCCTGTTGAGGGCGGAGCAACATTTGACCAAACCCACATGTTACCACTGGCTTTGCTGCATGGGTGGCATGAGAGGATGTGTGCCTGTATTTGGTGCGTTTGCCTGCTGCACTCTGGAAGCACAAATGAATCTGGATTAATCATACTTGATGTAAAAAGCAACAGTTTTCACAACAAGACTTCTCAGGAAATACGTTTCAATCTGAATTCTTGTGAAAAACAAAAACTAAAAAACAATAACAATGTTTCCACAACTAGTCTGGTCTCTGGACTAGTTGCCAAATCGTTTTTTATTGTCTTCTCGAGGTTTTCGTCTGATCGTGATTCACTTGGATCAATCCTGAGTAACTGCATTCTATCCACAATCAGAAATAGGAAAACGGGACAATGTTCAACAATAGTAAAAATAGGAAAACTGGTGCAAATGTTCCAAAAATGAAAAGAAAGGAAGCCAATAGGTCCGGTCACCCTTCTTCCTTTTGAGCATGATCAATTCATTTTTGTTTAAACATGTATTTCCTTATATTTTGCTTTTAAAATATGATTATGTCCTTCAATTTGCCTTAAAAGCTGATTTATTTACACGCTGATTATTTCATGTTTTTCCTTTAAAAAATGTTTATTTTCACGTGTTTATTTTCAGCGTGTGCCCTTTCAATCCTTTTAACTTTAAACATTACTATTTCTTTTTATGTTGCTTTAAAAACTAGATTATCAATTTTCAAAGTGATTATTTCCTTTACCTTTCCTTTTAAGAATGATTATTTTTGGTTTGTTTCTCCCCTTTTAAACATTATTATATTATGTTGTTGATGTATTTTCAATTATGTCCCTTTATTTTCCCTCAACAACAAAATAGTTTCTTTATGTTCTTTCTAACAATGATTATTTCCTTTTAAATGTAGTCAATCCCTTTCATGTTCCCTCTAAAATAATGTCGTTTCGTGTAAGAATGAAAGGAAATTAGAAAATCTTTTAAGCAAAACTGATCAATGCTTTTGAACAGTTATTATTCATTTGTATGTTCCTTTCAAAATGGTTATAATCAATTCCTTTCGAATTCTTTTAAAAATGTATTAACTCAGTTCATTTTCCTTTTATAGATGATTAATTCCTTTTATGCCCTTTTAAAGAGGACTCATTCATTCCTTTCATTTTTCTTTAAAAAGAGATTGGTACTTTTTATTTTCCCTCCAAACCTGAGTATATAATTCGTGTCATTTTCCTTTGCAAAGTAATGAGCAGAATTGATACGGCTTAAAAGAAAAATGAAAGGAATTTATCATTGTTCAAAGGGAACATGCAAGGAACTATATCAATCTATATATCCTGCTTCAAGGAAGCTGAAAGGAATTGTTCATCATTTATTCATTGTTTCCTTTTCATCTTCTATTCCTAGAGTACTGTCATTATGTTTCTTGTTTCTTTTTTCCCATGTCCAGCTCTATTTTTCTAAGTTTGGTTCCTACTTTTCTTGAAACAGTATGTGCCTAACGTGCAATCTGTTCATACCTGGCGTCATTTCATTTAGGATGTGCAAAAAACAATAACATGTGTCTCAATTTTCTGCCGCCCACAACAGGCCCCTCTCTTAAACAAATGCTTTGAATAAGCGTCCCTAACTGCTAGAAAGAAAGGCATCCTTGTAAAGAAAGGATCAAAAGCGGCACGGCGGCGCGGACGCTCGAGCTAGCGCTTTTCCTTGAGGCTAAGAGCGCTCTGGTATGCAAAAGCTGAACCCTCATGCTGATTCTGCATGTCCGATTCTGACGCCTCCTTAGCTTCACAGTCATGAAAGGTTTGGGACCTCTTTTCGGTCTTGCGCCTGCCGGCGCGGATCATGAGCTTCCGCACTCGGGCCTCCTCTGAAGGCTGCAGGCGCCAAACACAGGTGTCCATCACCTGAAGCAGCGGCTCTCGCTCGCACCCTGACTTTGTCAGGACATCAGCCAGCATCTGCGAGGTATCGCACCAGATCACCTGCTGGTTGCCATCCTCATAGTCGGTGTAGCCGAGCATCTCCTTCACTTGCGCCACTAGCAGCTTCACCCTTTTATCGCTTGGCTGACCAGCGTCCTTGACGATGGTGGACTCGAGGGACTTTGCGTCCGTGATTGCCACCATTGGTGGCTTCCCAAACTCACTTTCCAACTCCCGGAGCGGACGACCGGGGTTCTTCAGTTCCACCAGGATGGACCGGAGGTAGTCGCCGGCCTCAGAGCCTTGGAGGAATCCATTGAATGTGGAGCGGCAGACTCTCTTGATGGAGCCGGAATTGGCTTCGACCATCAGGAAGGGCGCTTCACCACCATCCTTGATCTCTGGGATCGTGAGGCCGATGATGTAGCCACATTGCGACTTCATCTGATTAGTGTTGGCGAAGGAGCTGTCTGCAAAGACGCCCACGGTGCAGCTTTCCCAAGTGAGCTTTGGGTGTGGGCAGTCGGCGGTGTCCTTGAGCATCTTCACCGCTCGGTTCAAGTCCACGATGTCCTTGATTGTAGGCTTCCCCATCGTCTGGCTTGCCAGACTGACATTGACCAGCAGGTCAGGCCGGTTTGGCGGCAGATCCAGCCTAAAAAGCCGATCAGTCCTCTGAACTCGGACTTCTCTTCCTCTGTGAGTGGTGCATTTGGTGAGCACCTTCTTTCCTTCTTGAGGATGACATAGTCGATGCCCTCGATGGCGTCAACCTGGTCGAGCTCCACGTCTTTCTGCAGAAGCGGAAATCATCTTCTTTCACCTTCAAGTGGGGGTCGGTTTCCAGACCCTTGAGAGTGGCCTGGAACTTCTCACCAGCGCCGGTGCAGAACAAGTCGTCTACGTGTGTGGCCATCACGCCTTGTAGGCTGCCATCCACGAACAGGTAGAAGAGGGCCTGCTCGATGCGGGACATGATCCAGCCGTAGTGCTTGACAGTCTTGAAGAGCTTCTTCCACCATGAGCTGCCAGCATCTCGGATGGACCCTTTTGCTCGCAGGTCGAATGGGGAGACTCCTGGAGGCGGCGGGCTTGGAGGTCGCAGGATCAAGAGCCTGCTGATGCCCTGAGACAGCAGGTAGGCTGTGGAGGCATCACAAGCTCGGAGATTCCAATCCATCATCACAGAGATGGCGCAAATGAGCTTGAAGGCCAGCAAAGATGCGGTAGGGCTATCTGACCTGATGCCAGTTTCATCTTCTTGGTTGCCCTGCACGACCATCCTTGACTTTGCTTCGAAGGGGAACTCCTTCTCGATCTGTTGCTTGGTCTTGCCCGTCCTCTTGGACATAGCGGCGGCCATCAGTCGAGGTCGTTTGTTCTTGTCGGTGTGCACCCAACGGGTCCCGACGATTGGAGCGTCGTCAGGTAAGTTCTCGACCTGCTCTTCAGTGAGGATCTCCACAGCTCCGAAGCGCTGCCATGAAGACCATTCTTTTGCCATGGATGCATCGAAAAGAGCTCGATCGGCCGGAGAGAGGTGCCAAATGTTGACCTCGCCCTTTGAGGCTGCGTTGCCAGTCAGGTAGGTGTCGTGCTCCAACTCGACATGCTTGGGATTGACGTTGTCACCTTCATTGCCTGACCCCTGCCCCTCCTTCTCTTCTTCACTGCCTGTCCAAACTTCTTGAAGGCGACTTCGTCGTAGATTCTGGACAGCTTCAGTGATGTGAGGGAAGGCATCTGGAACACCAGCTTCAGCCAAGTATGGGCGCTCGATGCGTGTTCCTCGTGAAGTGGATCTCACGGGCCCATTTGAAGGCAGCGGACGCCCGTCAAGACGGTCAGGTTCTTGTAGTGCATGATGGAAGTCGGGCTGAGGGCCAGTACTTGGAGCTGAAGGCAGTGGCGGTGTCTCGCCAACGTGGCTGAATCCATCATGAGGTGGTACTTCATTAAGTTCAGCATCATCACCTTCAGGTACTGGAGTCCTGGAGGAAGTTGCCCAGCGGAAGGTGGCCCTGTGATCCTGGGAGCCTCAGCTGAGGCACTTGGAAGAGGTAGCGCTGAATGTAGTGGGGCACTTGGAAGCGATGGTGCCTGTGAAGGTTGTTCATCGTCTTGGTCATGGACCGCCGGAGGCATCATCTCTTCTTCTTGGCCAGCGGGCATTGCAATAGGCAGTGCATAGGGACGGAGATCCACATAGTTCCGAGCACCTTTGATGTAATCGGGCTCGAGGACGTGTTGTGGTGTCACATGCGCTGCCAGGAGTTCATCTTCGCTCGCATAGCGCAACTGCTCACCAGTGACCAAAACAACTGATGGACCATAGCGAAGCCAGTAAGCATGCGGTTGCCCACCATCAGTTGGAAGGTCTTGATCTTCTGAGCGGTGAGGATTGCGAAGTTCAACTCCAATAATCCGCCCGGGTCCATACCATTTGTAACCCCGCTCATCAGCACCAGCTTGCTGTCGGAGGAAGTAGACATAGGATCCCACAGGAAAAGGTCCTCTTGCGGGTGTAGATTGGTGAAAAAGAGCTCGCCTGATTCGTGAATCAGTGTCCAGTTAATCTGAGCGATACGGGCATTTTCTCTGACGCTCATGTTCTTGGCCATTGCAGAGGTCGGATCTTGTGCTTGCTCGAGCATTGCCAACTGATCATCATCTTCATCAACACGAAGTGAGCCAGGGATGCGAACCTCTGGTAGTCCAAGTACCCATTGTGTGGGAGCAAAACCATTTGCTCGGGGCTGTGAGTTCCGGATCTGAGTGACGATGACGGTGGCAGTGATGATGTCCTGCAGGCCAATGATCTGGCTCTCGGTGACAACCTTCTTCATCACTTCTTTCCAGAAGCCACCTGCCTTTTCCACCTTGCCTTGTTTCCAAGGCGCTTCAAGAGGCATTGCTTCTTGCTCGACTCCAAATTGCTTGAGGTAGTCGGCAAACTGAGCTAAGAACTCACGGCCTCGATCAACTTGAATGGAGCGAGGTAATCCTGCCCATGATGACCATGATGTCAGGATGTGCCGGAGAACTGCCTTTGAAGCAGGAGGTCCTCGCGATTCACCTAAACAAGTCACCACTTGGAAGCCAGCGCCCTCATCGATGATGTTGAGGAAGGAAAACTGAGTATTCGCTGCATCGCGGCAGCAGAAGACATCCAAGGAGAGGTGGTTGTTGAAGGTGTAGGAACCTGGAAGCTTGACCGGCTTTGGTCGGCGTCGACGGATGCTCTCACCACATGTGTGGCAAGCCATGAGGTTGGCGGCTCGCAAGGCAGCTGGTTTTGCATTCTGCCTGAAGGGTGCCCAAAGTTCACGTGGAGAGTCCGGAGGGTCTTTCTCAAGTCAGGCTCAACTTCCAGCCATTCTTGCCGACGTTGCACTTCGGTCTTGTCAAGGAGTGGATCTAGTCCAGCAGCTGCGTGAGAGCGGTACTCTGCATCGGAGACCTCACCTGTGATTTCATCATCGTCCAGAGGAAGTGGTAGAGTAGATCAGGATGAGTACTGGTCTACGAGAACAGCTTGAGGTCCTCTTTTGCGAGGTCGAAGTCTGCGGGCTTCAGAAGGGAAAGCTTCATGGGTGTTCTTCACCGCATTGACCTCGATCTCTCGCTGATGCATGATGGTGGTCAAAACCATTTCGTTGAGCTGATGGGGCCAAACAGAAGCTTGAGCTGTCTTGCTGCCATAGGTGTTGCGTCCTTCAAGATGTTCATGTTCATGAGAGCCATCGCAACGACAGTCAGCGAAAACGCTCTCGGCAGCGACCATGCTGGTGATGTAGTGGCTTGGCTTCTTGTTTGGAAGGCCACTTTCGGCATCTTTATAGCCAACTTGACCACCATCAACGATGATGTAGAAGAGGGTGCCATTGTCGACCATGGCCTTGACATCCTTCATCTCGGGCTCATCGAGGCTTTGGGAACCCAGTGGGTGCTCCAGGAACACATGTCTCATGGCACGGACTCGGTCCTTAACAGTCTTGTTGACCGAGCGGGGGAGGCTACGGTTCTCTTCTCGAAGATGCTCAACAGTTTCTTGTGCAGGACCGCTTTTGGCAAGGTTGAAGCGGGACCAATTTCCCCACGGACCGCAGGGGTGAGTGATCACAGTCAGGTCGGGGTCCTCACGCATCATATCATGGTGCAGCTGCTTCTTGCCAAGTGACGTGGTCGCATCCCAGCCGCTGATGTTGTAGTCCAGGGGGACGCCACAGGCCATGCCAATCAGGGCTGCGAGAAGAGTCAAGCCCATCTGTCCGGCAAAGAGTTGCTTGATCCAGCATCGACCAAAGTGAGGCTGTCGTGGGATCTTTGAGAGTTGCCCTTGGAGGACACGTCGGTGAAGGAAGTCTTCATCTTCAAGAGCTTGCTCCATGCCGCAGATGCGCTTCCATTTCTTGTTGGTGGTCTTTCGGACACGGTACTCTTTGGAAGCAATGTCGGCGAAGAGCGTTTCATCATCGCACACGAAGTGGCATTCATCATAGCCTTGAACATCCATTCTCATCATGGCGAGGATGTCCTGATGGTCCTCGAACTCATCGGGATTGAGACCACAGTAATCGTTGGTGTACTCATGAGGTGCCGTGCTTTCCAACCAACTGAGATATTCAGGGTCCTGAGCAGGATCAAACTGACCAGGAGGCTGTTCTTCGGGTGCCTCAGACGGTTTCTGGTTCTCCTTCTCCTCCTCAGACTCGCTCACGAACTCATCGAGCTTGTCCGTGTTGAAGTCCAAAAGGTTCAATGCCAGGATGACCCTTTGAGGTCTTGCACATTGGCATGTTGTGGACGTTGATGGCCAGGAAGGAGATGGTCTGGTCAGCCAAGTTGATCACTGCACCCAATTCCTCCATGAAGAGACGGCTCAACAACAGAGGCGTATTGCCGGGTGTCTCGGCTGAGTGGATCTCACCGTGAACCTTGTAGATGCCCACGGGGAAGACACGCACGTGTTTGGACTCAATCTTTCCACCGATGCCCTTGAAGATCAGGCTTCTTGAACTCTTTGATGAAGAGAGACCACGGGCCAAAAGTTCTTTCTCCATCTGATCGGCCCAGGACTTGCCATGCATGGTCCTTGTACATCCGGAATTGAGGATGGCCATGCCAGGTGTGGTCTTCTGCTGAGAGGGCGAAGCTTTCGTCGGTGGAGACCATCATACATTCACATTCGTGTGGCTTCACAGTGTTTGGGTCGTTGATGTCGTACTGGATGGGTGCCACGATCTTCCGGAGACCATGAACATCATCAGGCTCAGACGCTCGTTTCCCCTTGGCTTCTCCTTCTTCACGGGTAGGGCTGACCATACGTTCAGCAGCAGCCTTGACCAACCGGAGACGGCCGTAGAGGTAGAAGGCGAGGCGGAAGATCTCGGGCGAAGCAGACTCATTTCCGAGCACATGACCCGTCACTGACTTGCAGTAGTGCTCACACATGATGCTTTCTGCAACCTCGCAGAACCGGTAGCCTTGAAAGGGGCCTCCGTCGTTCACCAACTCACCATCGTGTGGAAGAGGCTGCAAGATGTCCATGTCATCGGCATCGAGAGTCGGGATCTCAGGCAGTGGAGTGTCTGCTGCAATCATGACACCATAGAGCCAGACACGCTGTCGTGATGCACGCACGATCTTGGCGGTCCGTGCTTGCAGTGGTGTGCTGTTGCCATAGCCTGAGGGGGTTGAAGCATCAACCAAAGACCAGCCTTCGCCAGTTGCATTGGACGGTGAAGAGGGCGAAGGTGTCGGTGATGATGTGATCTTGGTGCCTCGTGCAGCTCTGCTCTGAGCGGGCGGCTCAGATTGGGTCTTCAGGTAACGGACTTCTCGATCATACTCATCGCGAACTTGTCCGACACGTCGGTAGAGACCTGCAGTGCCAAACTTCGTGCACATGAGCACCTGGATGAAATAGGACCACATTTCAACTGGCTCTTTCCTATGACCCACGATGACAGACTTTTCACACGAAGGCTCCTTGCAGGTGATGAACCTACAGTAGTGTGGCCATTTGCTGCACGGTGGAATCGGTTGAGGCATGCTCGCAGAGCTTGGGACAGTTGAGAGCGACCAGGGCCTCTGCATCATCAGTGGAGTCGTCGCAAACATGGCTGAATGCGACTCGCTTTCGGCGCTTGACCTGCCGACTGGCATCGGTGATCTTCACATCGGGCTCCTCAGTGACCTTGACATTCTGGAGGGTGTAGCGCGCAAGCATGAACATGCCATAGGACACTTCAGGATCGGCGTCCAGGTCGGTGCCATAGATGCCAGCAGGGTCGTACGAATTCTGGAGAGGCTCAACTCTTCCGGGACTTCGGAGGCTTCAGGGACCATGTGATACTCAAGCAAATGGAGGCCTTCAGTCATGTAGCATTCTGAGCCACCGTCCGGAGAGTCAGGGGTGGACTGCTCGGCAAGGGAGGAATCTTCGTCCTTTGGGCTGTGGTGCGCAAACATGGTAGTGGCGATCTTCTGAGGTTTCTTCTTTGGAGAGCCACCTTTCTTGCCCTTTCCCTTGCCCTTGCCAGAAGACGGACATTCGGGATCTCCTGCCCAGTGCCCTTTCTGGTGACAAACGGTGCAAGGCGTCACCGATTTCAAGAGCTTCACGGCAGTCCGCCGCTGGTCACAAGCCTTCTCGGAAAAACTCATCTCCCCTTTGGCCGTGAATCCGACCGGATGAGACGCACCTGTAGTAGCGCTCGATGGAGTGGTAGATCTCGATGAAGTGCCAAACTTCTTCTTCTTCTTGTTGAACCGGTGTTGAGCGACTGTGGCATAGGCCTCGGCGACTTGGTGATCCTCGGACATATCAGGAAACTCATTGAGCAACACGTCCATGATGTCATCGTCCGAGTAGCCTTGGTGGTAGGCTTCGTCACTGTCCCCTTCACCAACGTGGTCGCCCTCATCCTCGTAGTAGGCATCATCATCATCTTGCTCGTAGCCGGGCTCGTCCTCAACAGCCAGGATCTGCCTGGACTTACCTTCGAGGCGTTGTTTCCATCGGAGCTTCATCAGGTGCTGAGGGAGATGACCACCACCAGTGGAGCGAGCACCCAGGTAGTCACGGCGCACAACCTGCTTCCCGGCGGCATTGGGAAACTGGATCCTCATTGCATGGGAGATCTTGGCGAAGTCGTACTCGTTGTTGCAGGAGCTGCGAACCGAAGTTTGCTCCTTTGGATCCAGGCCGCCAAAGCAAATTCAGCATCATAGCCCTAATCTGCTCTGACACCTGAGTTCCGGCGTTGTTCTCCTCCAATCTCTTGAAGTCCTGCTCACGGCGAACGATGTATTGTTGCATCGTCTCGGAGCTTCGCCGCCAGACATTGGGGCTGTAGAAGGCTTGGAAGAACAACTCGCTGGTTTTGACTGGCAGCTCTGCTGCAATGGAGTCCTTAGAGTCTTGAGCAGCAGCTTCATTCCCTCCGCGGTTGGCTTGCCCTCGGAGGTCTTGGTCTTGAGCTTTCCATGTTCCAGCTTACGAACTGACTCGGCCAGCCCGGAGGTGGACAGGCGTTGAGATCTGTAGGGACTCTTGGCCTTCTCTGCCATGGAAAAGGTCCCAGGCCCGCTCCTCGTACTCCTCGAAGAGCTCGGCCTCGCCGCTGTACTGCGGCACGCCGTGGCGATCCGTCAGGATGCTGCCACTCACATAGGTGGACATGGCCTTCTCGGTGTCCAGCAGGATGCCGAAGGCGAAGGCGAAGATGTAGCGCTGGAGCCCACGAGGACGCCAGCTGCCAGGCGGAGGAGCGCAGGCGCAAACGCAACCAAAGGTCGCGTTCAGCGGCCGCCGGAACTTAATCCGGCTCCGCTTACCATCAAAAGCGGCACGGCGGCGCGGACGCTCGAGGTAGCGCTTTTCCTTGAGGCTAAGAGCGCTCTGGTATGCAAAAGCTGAACCCTCATGCCTGTGGAGCTATCGTGCTATGCTGCTATGCTGATTCTGCATGTCCGATTCTGAAAGGATATTTGTCCAAAGACCGGGCGGCCGACCCAAGGTTCTACACCAAGATTCACAGAAAACAAACAAAAGTGGGCTCGAACCCACCCAGACCAGAGGCACCCACCTCACACAAAGCAGCATCCAAGCAAGTGGAGACAGCCTCTGCCAATTGGTCTTTGATGGGTCGCAAGGACTCCTGTGCACAAACGTCTCCTTTCTCGTACTGCTCTAGGGCATAGAGGAGCAAGGCCGGAGGATCATAGCTGCCGATGCTGAAGATAGCTTCCACACTGTGTGGCACTCTTTGAACGAATTCAATCTTGTGTGTTCCCATCACTCTGCAACCATCACATTCAGAAACCAAATGCAAGGGTGCATCATATTGATAGGGAATCCAGTCGTTCCTCAGCCATCGTTGGTATATAATGGTATATATAAGTATTGTATATGTATGTATACATACATATATATATATATATGTATAGGGCATAGGGCATAGGACAGGGTCCCGTTCACCGGGACAAATGCCCCCCGGTTGAAGGTGTGTGTGTGTGTGTGTTTGTGTGTGTGTGCTTCGCAAAAAGCTCATTGGAAAGAGCAAACCTACAAAGCAAAACCAAAAACGAAACGTCGCAAAGAGTCTGAGGGCCACCCACAAATAGAATGTGCTGCAAACCTGCACGCGCCAGCGTAAGTTGCTCTCCACCCAATCACTCTATCTACTCACTGCCATACCTCTTCATACAAGATTGGACGAGACGCTGTTGTGGTCTGAAGGGGCAATCAAGTACAAGGCAATGCAATCGTCTCCGCCTTGTGTATGATCTGCACAGTTTGGCGTCCAAGAACAGTGACTGACAATGGGCAACACTAGCTTGCTGAGCTAGGGACACCATACCATTTGCTTTGGCTTCTTGATGCGTTCAATATTTGCAACGTCCTAGAGTCTTTCAGCGGTCACACATGCACCGACATGGAGCTTCAGCTCACCGTTCCATAGAGCCAAGGAGCGAGGACTTTCAGCTCGTCACTGACAGCTACAACCTCAGGGGCTGGGCTGGTGGCCCTACAGGAAGCCGCTTCGATTGACCAACGTGTTGCTCTTGGGTGCTTGAACAAGCGGCCTTGAACACGCCTTTGGTGCTCAAGCATGCCAGTAGGCGGCCACTGCTCGACAAAGAGAAGGCCATGAAGGGACCGTCTGTCAGGCCAATATCTCCTTATGGGCATTGGTCAAAAAATCTGGCAATTTAGCATTTCAGCACTTCTGTATTGGCATACCCTCTACCTGCATGCAAAGCATCTGGAGCTGTGCCTGCAGTACCAGGCTCTCTAAATGGAAGCAAGTGTTAGCAGTAGTATACTTCCAGTGGTATCAGCATCAGGGCTTACAGAATTAGTAACTGCAGCCATAGAGTGCAGAATCTGGAACTCAAAACTCCAATACCGACTCGGTGAGATTGAGAGGCCTGTCAACCATGAGAACCGGCCCTTCGGCTGTTCCAACAATCACCTGCACATCCTCAGCATAAGACCAGGCTGAGATTCTCTGTACAACTGGCAAACAGTTTGTAAATCAAATAGCTCTACAAAGGTAAATTGGACAGGCCACTGCAGACTCCTCTGAAGGTGGTGGCAAGGCGCAAATGCAGAGAGGAGCCTTAGCTCCAAGAGAAGGCTTCACTGGTGTCACTGGAACGGTCAGATAATGTTGAGAAAAAGAACGTAACCTACTAGTTAGCTTCTTGCTACTAGTGGCGATGGCCTCCAACCTACTAGCGATTGCCTCCCTAGTAGTTTCTTGCTAGTAGTAACTCATGTTTGCACCTTGCCAAGGCTTGCTGAGGTGCACTGGGAACCCTGATGTCTGCAAAGCGATGGCAGGCCTTGGCTTTGCCAACTATAAGTCCTCTACGGGCTCTGTGCTGCTAACTCGTTTCCTTCTACAACGTCCTCACCAAAACTGGAACAACACGTGACATCACGGGATTTCACTCCATCTCCATGCATTCAGGAGACATCCTCTGAGCGAGTGAGAGAGGTATTCACAAACAGACTGAACTTTCTGGTCAGCACAGCCTGGAGCAGGGTCTCAGCACTTCTCTGAGTTTCAACAATGCGAATCTCATGGCTCGTTAGCATGCAGTCTGTAGCCTGCAATGATTAGGCCATTGTGCCCAATATTACTGGGAACAACATGCATGCGCCAGTTCTGCAAAGAAACAACTCCGGTAGGCCACAATGATGCCATAGTGGCACCACCTTCGGACTTGATGCGCTCGTCGATCGTAAATACATGCAGGGGCTCACACATCACGGAGAACCTTCGTTGGAAGGACTGGACGACAACTGTGAGAAGCGTGACCCCATTGCTTCAGATTGACTCCAACTCACAATGCAAGCTTCAAGGATTTGAGACAGCCAGGACACGTTCTGATTAACCCAGATTCAAAGACACAAACCTAGACAATCAAGCAATAGTCGGGACAACTCTCTCCTTCTCTCCGTCTCTCCTTCTCTCTCTCTCTCTCTTTCTGGCAAGCATGACTCGTCAGGACAGCTCTAACTCTACCTATTGAAATGCTAAGTTCGAATCCAAGGTCTCTTGTGCACTCCATCCCATCGTCACTAAGCCTCAGAACATCTGTACGCCCACCACTCCCTTTGCCTGCAGAATCTCACCCTGACCTCAGCCGTTAGAGCCAAGATGCCAGTGTGCACCCATGGGGCCGATTGAATCAAACGGCCAGCTGCAGTCCAGGTTTGAAGATGAGTCTGCAAACTTCCCTTGACCGGCTGGAATACATGCCTCAGGTCTGGGAATGCCAGAAATTCTCAACCTCATACTTTCACTTCAACCAAGCAACTCATTCCTCACGGTTGCCACAGGCCTCGGTCCATCTGACTTTACTTTCTACTTCCTTTGTGCCCCCCGCCATAGTTCTCAGCATTCCTGACACCTTGATGCGGTTAAAAGGCCCACCGTAAGGGGCGCCAGCTGCCACACACAAATGCAATCGCTCCGGATCATCTGTCCATTGAGCTGGATAGACCTGTCGCGAGCGGTGCGCAAATCGCCACAAGTCAGGGAAGCATCGAAGCGGATGTCCAGCGAACCTCTGGCTTGCGGTACCACAAGTCCGCGAGCCTCGAATGGAAACCAGGTCGGCCACAAAGCTGTTCTTTACTAAAAGGAAGAGAAGCAACACATGAATATCTAGTGCAGTTCCGAAACTTCTGCCAGTCGGAGCTCATCTGAAGCTAGGCCCATGAGGCAAAGCTGTGACAGTCCCACAATTGGGGTCAGACATTATCAAACACGTTCTTTTCAATCAAAACATGTGAGAATGGGTCAGTGACCAGATAAACAGTCTGTACGCAGCAAACTCTAAGAAGCAGGGTGAACTGCTACCATTGTTTGGCATGATTAGAGAAGTCAAAGATGGTAAAGAAAGTATCGTGTTTTCAAAATCCTTGGCACGTTCTTTTGGCCCAAGGGTTTGTCGGCGAGGTGAGGTCATTTTGTTCTTGACGTGCTCAATGCGTCATTCCAAGTGACAATGCAACCTCCACGGTCCACCGCCCGAAACCGCACCTTTTTCATTGCTGCCTCCACGGTCTTGTGCACATGCGTTTCGAGGGGCCCTGTGTGGGACGTGAAGGTCCTTGGGCGAGCCTTGCTGCTGGAATGTTCCCCTCCAGAACGTCAAACTCGCCCAGGCCCGAGTCAAAGTAGAACTTCATCTGTAGAAACTCTTGGCAATGCAAGAGCCAGGCTCGCACTGCTCCATCAGCTAAGTTGCTTCGCCAATCCTGGTAGTTGTCGTTGTCGAGGAAGCGGCAATTTCGGCGATAGGCGCATTTGATGGTCATCTCATCATCTGCACACTTGTGCCGGTGGCCCAATAGCCGTGGAGTCAGCTCAATACTTTCACACATGGCTGAGATGTCTCCCGGCACCTGGTTCACTTCCCGACCATTCTCAGCACCGTGAAAGTTTTCAAAAATGACTCCAATCACTCGAAGGCCCAGTTTTTGAGTCAGGTGCGACACACATCTTCTCACCCCTTCATAGTCAAAGAGATAATCTTTTCCCTTGACTCGCTTCAGGACTCGATCCCCGTAAGTGGCCCCCACGTTGGCAAAGTTCACCACTACCCTGTCCAAGTCATAGGGCCTCCCCTCGTTGTCAACGGCTTGTGGCCCATTCGGCACTTGAGGTGAACCAGGCCTTGATGTGAAGCCAGAAGGAGGCACCGACGGGGGCATGGGAGGCGGACGGGGGACTGGAACAGACATGTTCATGTTCACTGCAGCTTCTGGCTGGCCTGAACCATTCTCCAAGCTGCCACTGGAACCGGCCCTGCGTGGGGCCGGAATGCGTTTGATGGTAGGAGTGAACTGCTTCCAATCTGCGGCCTTGCTCTCTTTGTAGCCTGGAGGAGGGTGATCTGGAGGGTGTGGCCCGTCCACATGCCGCTCTGCGCGCTCTGTGTTGAGCTTTTGATTGTCTAACTCCTGCAGCTGCTGCAAGGTCTGTTGTACTACAGCCTGCCTTGTGCTGGCGGCACCACTTGTGCCAAATGTGGCACCTGTGCCTTTTTTACCCACAGGCGTGTATGGCTTGTATGGCTTGAGAGGGCCCTTTTTCGGCTCGAAAGGTTTTGGAGGTTGTGGAGGCACCGGTGCGGCCATTCCTGGTTTGGAAGCTCCTTCTGCCCCTCCGCCCTCCAGAGTGGACCAAACTGCCTCAAAGTTTTTCTGCTCCACAATTTGTTCAGTCTCTCCCGCGCTAGTCACGCTCACCCGGATATCCTGCACCGATGTGGCTTCAGCGGCATCTGAGACTTGGAATGCTGTCGGCAGTTGCCGCAGTATACTGCAGAGTTCTTCAGGCAATTGAGCCACTGGTGTATTCCGCTTTTGGCTAAGGTGACGCAGGAGTTTGGGCACCTTGCCCTGTGTGAGCAGCCTTCTCATCGAGGCCCGCTTTCCAGGCTCCGATAGGAGCTGCTGCCGAACCTGTTCTTGCAGCAGAGCCTCCACGGAAACCTGTCGTGGAGGCATTGGTGCAGCCTTCATTGGTGCAGGCTCCTTCTTTGGTGCAGCCTTCGGCGGTGCCTTGGGCGGTGCCTTGGGCGGTGCCTTGGGCGGTGCCTTCGGCGGTGGTTTGGGCTCGTTCACCCAATCTTTTGAACTTGTTGGTTTGGCTTCTGGAGACTTGCCATGTTCCAGCCAGCTAAGCCAACCACGCCCTCGGCCGCTTGGTTTGGCATTCCAGGAGCCTTTTCCTTTGTTCACTTTGCCCTTTGAAAACCCTTTGGCTTTTGGAGCTGCTTTCCACTTGCCCTTTCCACCCTTTTCATTCCCTTGCGGTGGCTTGGGGGCAGGCTCAACGGAAACTATTTGACAGTCATCATCATCAGAAGCGCTTTGGTTTGACGCCTCTGCGTTGGAAGCCAAGTCACCTTCCTTAGCCTTGTCGGCCTGCTGAGCATCGGCGCTCGTCGCTTCCATAGACGCGCTTGGATCCTTCGGGTCGTCGGTGCCATGCGCATCACCATTAGTATCACCATGCCCGGCCTCACTTTCTTCTTCAGTGCCCCAATCTACTTCATCTTCTATTCTACTCTTCTCTGGCTCAACTTTGCTAGCCCCGTCCACCAAGGCAGCCTTGGTCGGCTTGGCAGCCTCAGTCACCTCGGCAGCCTCGGTAGCCTCTGTCAAATCTCCAAGGTCTTCACTAATGTCCTGGTATGGGTCATACAGACAGCCCTCAGCACCATCAGCCTCCTCCAAAGCCATTACAGCTTGAGCCAAAGGGACTGCCGAAAGAATTATATAAATATGATTTGACTCAGAGCTGCACCGGCTTCTCCTATATAACAGTCACCAACATGGTACATTCCGTGCACACACAAACTTGTCAAGTAATCAGTCAAATGCAAAGCAATGCATCTGTATTGACTCGTCTGGGGCTTCGGCCTCACGCTGACAGGTGAGCTGCCGAACGGGTATGGCGACACTACGACTCACTACGAGAAAACATAAGGAGGAGCGCGAACGAGAAATCGCAAATCTCTGGAGGCCGAAAGGATTTCGACACCATTCGGCAAGGGCGAATTCTCGAAGCTGGAAGCTTCGTTGAATGCCCCTTCGCATCTGAGCATGCATAGTGCCATATTGTGAGACCACGTTTGGAGTGTCCCTACTTGTTTCGGGTCAGATGAGCCTGAGTGGCTGAAAATTGCCATGTCCTTCTCTTCCCCTTGAAGGGGTCTTGGAAGTGGATGGATGAGCTCCGCGGTCAATGGAGTACTTCGCGGCAGGCTCTGCACTTTCTCTTGAAGTTTCCTGCCAAGTGCAGTGTCACTGCCATCCATGGCCACAACGGTGAAAATCCGGCGACGCACTGCACCTCGATGCTTGGTTCGAGTAAGCAGTTCCTGGCCAACGTAGCAGCCTTTGGAAAAGGAGACGAAGTTCAACAAGTCTAGATTCCCGTGCAAAGGCATGACCTCGTCGATCTTCAAGTCTCCCGGACCCTCAGGAACACCACAGCAAACTCGCCAGAAATGGTAGTCGGACAAGCTCGCACTTGGAGATGTCGGGTGCGATGCAGGCAGAATTGCACGGTGCCCCAGCCCTTCAAAGCGTGGATCTGCAAAATAATCTGAAGAGTCCATCTCGGCACTTTGGGTGCCTGCCAGGGGCCAACGACTCAATTCCGACCATTTTCAACGAAAAAACTTTAAAAAAGCGCGAGAAGTAGGTGCTAGTGCTACCGAAACAGTTTTACAAAGAGCTCCTGACTCATCTGTAAAGGCTTGCCCAGGCAGCAGCGCAAGCGACTGGTAGCCTGCAAGTATACGGTTTTTAGTAGGTGCGGGGTAGCTTGATGTATGTGCAAAATATATATGTATGTGACTGTGTATATATATATATATATGTGTGTATATATATATATTACATATATACTGATCGGTGTTCAAAAGGCTTGTCTTGCAGTGGTGTTCACAGCTTCCCGCAAATGCTTCCAACCTGACCTGAAGCTTTCCCTTGTGTTAGGGGACAGGTGGCCGCAACCATCCTTCATCCAACCGCCTTTCTCTCCATAGCCTTCCACAACATCTTTCACGACAGAGTGTGCAGATAATACTTGTCTCGATCTGGTCTGGGAGGCCTTTGCAACTTCCTTTTCCTTCCAGTCCATAGGCCTGACTTTGTTTTGATTTGATTTCATGTCTGTTTCCGCAGTGTGCCCGTCCTTGCATTCACATGCCCTACGCACGCGTTTGTACTACTGTAATGCAAGACTAGAGGGAGGGACAATTGTGCCCGTGAGCGGACTGGCCTTTTGAAACATCATCAATGGTGAGAGGCTCTCGCAAACGGTGCCGTATCAGCAGCCGGCGCAAGGAAGCACTGACTGAAGAATGGCAGTCCACCTTAGCGCTTGTGGTCAGATCTGGCACTCTACGACTCTGTGACGATACTCTCTGACACTGTGACACTCAGGCACCATACATCGCAGTCCACTATTTTGACCTATCCTGGTCACATCGCGGTCATCTTGTGATTGTGACCTGAGCTTGGCACCAAGTATTCGTTGGTATCCTGTCGCTTCACCATGGCATCGCATAGCACCTTGCCCTTGGGCGACAGAAAAGCCGCCGGCAGCACCTCGTCCAGCCGAGTTGAAGTGCGTCGAGCCTAGTCCAGCCCTGTTCGTCGAGTCGAGTCGAAGGCCGAGGCACCGAAGGACCCGAGACGCTGAGTCGCTGCACGTCCTGGGTGCAAAGACCTTGCAAAAAGCGGTCACTGCCCTCGCCTGTCAAGGGGACAATCCACATGGACCACAACGGCTGGTTTGCCATGAATCTTGAGACGATCCATGGGTCCATATATATGGTTTGAGACACACAGCCGAAACTTAAGTTTTTGCACCTGCAACCCGCAGAATCGCCCGGTCTGTCAGAGCCACCAAGCGAGGGGCCAGACCCATCGCGATACAGGACTCAAAGTGCCGTTCTATGTTAGGCAAAGTCCCAGTGGAGTAAATCTTTGGAGGGGAAAGAAGTGGAGGGAACATTGGGTGCTGGTGTGTAAAGACGCGACCCCATGGCAATGTTGCTTTAGAGAGAAACCTCATAATAGGTGTAACTTTATAAGTAATAAAGCCGTTCAAGCAAACCAAGGAGCCGCTACCCCCAAGCTTTCAGGGTCACGGATGGAGATCCTGAAAACTGCTACAGATGCTACAGGCTTGACAGCCAAACTGCGAGCCATACGACACCTCTCAAATGATCCATCAACAAAATCGTGAGTTCATTGAGCGCGCAAAAGGTGAGACCAATAGCCTGAACCCATGGAGCTGCCCGTTCAATAGATCCACAATGGCCGGGCTTGGCCACCAAAGTCGCACGCTGGCTTGTTCCACCCTGGCTTGGCCCCCCTGACCTCAGCACCTCATTGCTTTTCGCTCGGGCTCAGCAGTGGCCATTCTTTCCATCTTTTGCATACTTTAGCGAAGACTTGTTGCCTCATTCCTCCCATAGCTTGCTTACAGAAATCTTCCGGCACACCGAGATTTTCTGCGCACGGCAAACCGGAGAGCCGAAGCTGGTGAACCATCGGAGCTTGCGATCACTTGGCCGTCAGCTGTGAGAAGCAGGTCCCATCGGACCTTGCACATCGATCGACCCAAGAAGCTGGTCCAATGCAGAAGAGTATGACAAAGGGCCTCTCTGTGTTTTCATGGCCTAAGTCGAAACAGTCAGCCCCCAGCTCCCAACAGCATGCAAAATGCTGAAATGCTGTTGACCCGTACGTCATGAGGGAAGCTACCTCTTGCCCGGAAACCAAGAGAAGTAGGGTCTCGGACTTGTCTAAGCCTCCGGGGATAGTAACAGTGCTCTTGGTAGGGTTGTCAGTGGAAGCTGAGTTATGGGATCGTGCTTAAAGGCTTTCAAGCATAGGTTCCACATCCACACTCTTACTCTTCACAGTTCACAGCCTTGAAGGGCAACAAAAGACAAATGGTGAGGTGAGGTTGCCAGTGCCCTTAAAAAATATGTTTGCCATCAACTGAGATGCCTGGGGAGGAAAGTGAAGAGGAGCAAGCTACCTCAGCACGGCTTGGATAAGTATCACGCAGCTCCTAACACAATCCGGTGGAAGGCTGAAGTGGGCAGTTCAAGCAATCCACGGAACGCAGAGATTGTCACTTTGCTGGGGCCCACACCCAAACATATTGACATCATCGGAGGGCCTTGTTTGGTATGAAAGCCAAAGCCGCTGACAAAATTCAGCCAGCCCAAAATGAGATGATCAAGACTTCAGCAGTGTTCAAACAACTGTACGTTTAAAGTTCACCCTTTTCTCACCACTCTCGCAACGTGTTGACATGTGTCCACATGTGGGCCTTCACTGTGGAAGGCAGGCATCTGACGGGCCGGCATCTGTCCACTAAATGCCCTGCACACGCTCACTTCTGGAGGAAGGTGAGGAATTCGTCCAATGAGCAGCTGTCACCCTTGATGCCCACTGCAACTGCTGAATCGCCTCCTTTCATGATCTTGTCGAACGTGTCGGCTTTGATCTTGTCACCAACTTCGCTGACCAAGTGGCGGAGGAAGGGGACCTGAATTCGACCAGACTTGTCCCCAATGATGCCTTCATGGCACAGCGTCCCCACTGCTGAATAGGCATCATCATAGGATTTCACATAGTTCTTTCCATGCTCCTCCACCCAACCTTGCATTGTCTTCAAGGACACCGGCTTGCCCATGCCATCTACCTTCTCCAACTGCTCGCGTATCCCCTTTTCCTCGTCACTGTAGATCGTGAGCCCCATCGCCCTCAGAACATAGGGGGCGCTAGAGAGATCCAGCAACTTGGTCTTCCGGTCGCAGAAGTGGGGGAAAACATCCTTCAGCTCAAACTGCTGTGTGAAAGGTTCCTTCCCTTTCTTCGTGGCCTCCTTGGCCTTCTCGGCCGTCATTGGGACTGGCACTCTGGTACTCCAAACTTGGGGCACCAAACACACCTTGAGCCAGCTGCCAGCAAGGTCAATAGGGTCGGAATGTATCCAGAATCCAGAGCTTGCTGTCTTCCTCTCATAGGTTCACGTGCCGGGCGGACCAACAATCAATCAAAAACATAAGAGACTTATTTGCATGGAATAGCTAGGCGGTGGACTCTGCTTGCGGGGCAAAAGCACTGCTAGTGTCCAAGCCTGCCAACAACAAGTCAGCCAACCCGATCAAAGCAGCACGCTGGCCACTCCTGCAGAGGACATAACAGCAGCCGCCGCTTGGTCCATTGGGGGTGGTGTGGCCTTGGAAGAGTGTTGTGGAAATCTGCCACGAATTTGTAAGGAACTTCATCACATCCTCTCTAGGACTCAGACCCAGCCAAAGCGGCAAATTACTGCTGTGATATTGTCACCTGACCAAGCGGAATCAATGCTTCACGTTGGACAAACCTCGGCTAGTGTGAGGCAAGGCGCGGCTCCCCTTGCGAAGGGCTGCACTGACCACCTCCTTGGCAGCCCTGGCACCAACTTGCAAGCACCAAACCATGTTTGTTCCGATGCAGTCATTGCCTCACTGCATCTTTACCCTCGCCAGCCATGGCACGCCAAATGATGTCAGCCACCTCCTGGTGTCGCTGGGGGCGTTGAATCTGCTCCTCTCTTAGAATGCTTTCAAACAGCATCATTCAGCAATTTAGCCGAAACCCTAATGGCTCTCCACTTTACTTTCGTACATGTTCACTCTCATTCATTAGAGCTCACTGGTAGCTTTGCCCAGCCTGGTCGGAAAGGGCATCGAAGATGCCATCACTGCCAATCATGTAAGCCCAGTCCTCAGGCACCTGCGTGACGACCCGCGCAGCGCCACACGAGACGCCCCAGGGTGATTCTCTGCGGGGCGCACCAGGTCTACAACCTTCACGTCCGGGGTGACAATCACCTCCAGCTGGTGCGTTGGTGTCCCTCTCAACTCCCTCTCAACCGTGTCCAGTCTCCATTAAGAAAAAGACCTGTACCATTGTGGAGTTCAGGATTCGGTCCTACAGAAGTTCCTAGAGAAACAACACCATGCCACTTGTAACCTTTGACCCCTTGTCAAAAGACCGCACAGCAAGCTGTGTCTCTGTCTGGATCGAAGGCCCCCAGCAATCGGATCCGGGTGCTTGAAGGTGGGATCTCCAAATCCTCTGCATGTGGAGAGGAACCTCGGCAAACGAAGTCGCGGTGTTTTTTCGCTCCAAGTCATGGCCGGAAATCTCCATCCCTGAGCTTCCCAGCCACATCATTTGCTGCGACTCTTTCTTCCCCTAAAGGCTCTGCTTAAAATATGGCATCTATATATATATATACTATGGTCGATCACACTTGGATAAGTTTCAATGGTATCCCACAATGTTTCACAGCTCTTTTCACTGTCCCACCTTCTGTAGCTCTTTGGCCAACTTATTGTCTGGCCGAGGCCTGTGGCTAAAATGTTGAAGAAGAGGGGAGATGAGGCCAGTGCAGAAATATTCCAAGTGCCCTGCCCAACACGCCACACTTTGTGCGCGTCGCGGACTACCAGGCCACCAGCTTTCTCAATCTGACAAGGTGCGGACAATTAGCATGAGCGCGTTGAGTCATCCCGAGTCATCCAGGTCATCGCCATCTTCCCAAACCCAACCCTGCGAAAGACCAAAAGGTCTTCAATTACATTACAGGTGTAGAAAAGAACTGTCTTGAAGGTCCCGATAGTAAAGTACGTAGGTCCCCATAGTGCGGTCCATTCCCCTCCCTAAGATGAGGTGAGCCCAACGGCCCAGCAGGAAGGGGGAGTGACGCAGTGTTCCAATTCTACGTCTGAGGCTCCAGGCCCGTCGCTTTTCATCAGCACCTGGCTCTTTCCATGTCTCACAGAATGGGACAGTGTGCACAAGACTGAGGCACGTTGAGGCCGATGATCCTCAGAGATGCGCAAGCCCTGACCTAAGCGATAACTTCGTAATTCTTTCCAAGATGTTCAAGTGACAAAAGCCATAGTCGCAAACTGTTGCAATCCAATGGCAAGAGGTCAAGGAATGCAAGGACCTTTTCACGGCAGCGCTGTGGCTCTCATTTGGCCATGGCTTCGGCACTGCTGAGCAATGCCTGCCATTCCCCCCTTTTGCAAGCAGCCTACCCCTGACTACTTTTGTGCAAAAGGCTGCTTGACCCTCACTCAACCATCCTCACTCAACCATGTCAGAAGCTGCAGCCTCTGACTTCTTGCTTTGGGCTCGTTGCCGCTTGAACTCAGCAAGGCTCATTCTCTTCGTGCTGGTAGAGCAACTAATGGTTCCCACTTCAAGCATCGCGGCCATGTCTGTTACCCGGTAGGTCTTGCCATCCATCTGGAACGTCGGCCCTTCAGGACCTTCTTGGATCGTCAGCTTCAGGACCTCATCGGCACTCTTGGAGCCTTCTGTAACTTTGCCTGACACTTGTGGCTCTGCAAGTTTCAGCTCCTTCACAGGAAGCTTGTGCTGCCCTTCGGACTCCTTCACAATCCGTCCACCCGGCTGTTCTTCGGAATCTGTCCACCCAGGGCGCTTGGTCGCTCTGGTCACCTTTCCGGGCGTCTCTTCCAAGGCGTACCGTGAGGTCCGGCCAGATCGCGCGGGCGTTCGATCCATGGGCCAAAGCTCAGAGAGGCTGCGCGGCGACGTGGGACTGGAGCCAACTGCATTTTTAAAAAAAGGACGACCACGGGCAACAGCACGTTCCCTTGCTCTCCATTCAAGGTCTGGAAGTGACTTTTTCACCTGAATCCAAGTTTCGGACGACCTCTGAGCAACACTGCTCGACAGTCACCGGCCCACGCCACAAACAGCTTCGCAACCTCAGGTCCAATGTCACAACACTCAGCAAACATATGCACAAATCCGACAGGTTGGCTTAGCTGGCTTAGCTCCTCACGCCTCCAAGAGCTCTGGCCTCATATATATATATACCGTATGTATTCTTGCTTTGCACGCACCGCAGCTCATGCCGAGCTTGAAGCCACTGTCCCTGGTTGTTTCTCAGGAACTGGTTCCTCCTGTGCACTGACTAGGATTAGCCTAGACGGGACTTGGTTCAACACATGCAAAAACTCTTCTCGGCCCATGTGGCTGCTTGTCCCAGCTGCTGGTCTAGCTTTGTTGTTGCAAACTGTGCTGTCCACTGAATGGAGACATCTCCAGTCCAACAGCTCCTTGGGTTTGGGCCACAATGCTGCACAACCCGTGGGAGCCTTCGCCTGCAACACCGCAGTCGGCTACCGCCAACAGGATAGCAGTCGGCTACTGCCTGCACTGGGGCTGTGAAGCCATGAGACACCAGGGTGACAATGCCTCGGCTGGAGAAGGCACCCAACTCGCAACTGGAGGTGGGGCCTAGTAGCGATGCCCTTCTTTTTAGTTAGTAGCTTCTTGCAAGAAGCTATTAGTAGTAATGCCCTTGTTACTTGTGGCGATGCCCTTGTTACTAGCAACCAAAAATGGCCCGGTTCATCCATCTCTCTAACCGTTATAGCCGGTGCCTGTGGAGCCCTCTTGGGCATCTTTCTTCTTCGCAGCCTGCAGCCAAGCCTTGACAAAATGCCGCGGTCTCTTAAAACAGATCATTCCAATTTTTTCACGCTGCCAAGAACTGTTTGCTCAAATACTGTCCCAACGGTACTCCATCAGTTTTCAGCAACTTCCACACACTCACTCACACACTCACTCTCACTCACACTCACTCACTCACACTCACT